GTTAGTTTTTTTGTTCCCTAGAACAAAATCGCTGGTCAACGGAACCCATTTTGAGTCAATTGAGGGCATCCAGGCGGTCGTGACGAGGGTTCTCGCGGACATCCCAGTCGAAGCATTCCAGAAATGCTATGAAATGGAAAACGCGATGAAATCGTTGTATGGCTACATAAGGGGACTACTTTGAAGGGGATCACAGAGTTGTAGAATACTTTTGAAATATACGATTTTTATGGAATCAGTCTCATTATGCAATTGTCACACTCCATATTTCCCGGACATAGCATCTTTTGATTTCTGGTTATTTCCAAAAATCAAAAAAAGAAAAAGAAAATTAAGAGGCAAGGTCTTTAATAGCGACGAGGAGATAATTAATGAGATTAATGCTGAACTTAATAAGCTTCAAAAGCAAGATTTTGAAGACTGTTTTCAGAATTGGATTTATAGGCTTAAGAAATGCATTGAAATCAATGGCGATTATGTAGAGCAAATGAAAAAGCACAAAGATTATGGTTAAATACTTGGTCTACTTACCGAACGTTTGTTAATCCCTTCGTATATATATATATATACAATAGCTTTATATACTTACACCAACAGGTGGCCCAATTGTGTCAGAGGCACACACATGCACATATTCAAACATATCGAAAATATTGTATGAAAAGCAAACAATCGCCGCACACCCACACAAGCATACCCAGAGTAGCAGACACAATAGCATTAAAGTGTAAACAGTATATGTACTGTAATAGTGTACGCAATGTCCTTGCGATGGCAAAACATTTATTGTTGCTGCGCCACAAAGCTATTGCTATTGCTGCTGTTGCTGCTACTGCTTCTACTACTGCCTGCTGTCGTTGGCATTTTCCGCCGCATGTCAACATTTTCCTACACGTTTTCACTTTTTCCCATCACTTTGCCGCCACTGCTTCCTACACACAATGTTATTTAATTTTTTTTCCTGTTGGTCCCACATGATTGCGAACCGTCACATACATATAATATATAAACATATGCAACTTGCATGCATACTGCTAAAAGCATACATACTCATATGTATGTATGTATATTGTTGGTTTGCTTTGAAAGAGTATATTTAATAAATATACACATTTTTTTCACAACTCGGTGTGGCGCCGCTTTTCTATTAAAAGTGGCAAGCAAATATGCAAATAATGGCTGAGCTGATGTGCATTCTGAAAGCAAACGTGTACGTATGTATACCTATATGTATATGTGCATATGCTGAAGCATATGTATGTCAGACTTTGGCAAATATATATGCATGTATACAGCAGTATGAGCGTTATAACATCACGTACAAAATAATTGACATTCACACTCCCACACATACATATACATATGATCAATTATACATATAAACACACAGATTTATGTACTCTTATATAAATTTGAAAGGCAAACATAAAATTCCTGCAACGGAAGTTTTAAAGTCCAGTTCAATTGACCCTTATTTATATGTCAACTGTTTGGATGGTGCAAAAAACTTAAGCGTACTTTATTTTAGACATTTGATTTTCAAAAAAGATGTTAGACAAGTGACCGCCGCGGCTGCCTCGAATAAATTCCATCCAAATTACTCAACTCCCGACCACTTTTTGCAGCAATTGGGGCCGTATGTCAGCAATAACGCGCCGAATATTCTCTTCAAAAGGAGCAATCATATCGAGCTTATCTGCATAGAAAAGCGACTTCACATAACCCGACGAAATAAAGTACAGCGGTGTTAAATCGCACGATCTTGGAGTCCACGCCACTGGCCCACAACGCGAGATAATGTCTCAACAATCTCTTGTGCTTTTCAACACAGCAAATGCGACAATTTTCTTTATTAACGTACACATTCAACCAAAAGTGAACTTCATCGCTGCACAAAATTTTCTTATAAACATAATCATCCCGTTTTGGGCTCATTCACCGAACGTAGGACGCACTTGGTAGTTCGACTTCAATTCTAGCACGACTTTTGCTTTGAAAGCCCGCAAACCAAGATATTTCAATGAAATCTTCCATTATGTAGATGCGAAGGCGGGTGGACTTATTCCGGTCTTCTTCGATACCCTGCTCCGTAGAGAGTTGACTCGCCAGGGGGCGTGAAGTTTTCTACCTAAAAGAACGTGACATTCCCGAAGGAAGTGTATAAAGCTTTAGGGTTGGTCGACTTGTTTGCAATTTCTGCAGACGTCGTTGTATAGTACGCTCAACCTCTCAGCATGACCTGTAAGAAGATCTATAATTGTAGATATATATCTCCTTTCCTTATGAGAAATTTCTATCTAGTTCCCTAGCATCATCAAAAAATCTATTGATCATGTCGAGTCTCTTTTCAGGAAAACATCATAACTCTATCATCCATATTCTTGACTTGAGGAGAAGAGAGTCCATAGTATTACCCAGCCGTCATTGCCTAGCTTGAACCTTTAATCTACTAAGAGGCTCGTCATTCCAACAATTTATTTTGCTATAAATACTCTCAAAATAAATTAACGAAACTCATCCTTCAATACAAAACTTCAACACAAAGACATAATTATGCTCTTTAACTAGATAACTAGCAAATTTGCCAAACAATGCACTTCTCATGCTTCAATCTTCACCCCGAATTACTTATTTTCTCAATGATTGTGGCTTTTATATCAGCAAACTCACGGAAACAGTTTTTTGAGAGAAATTGCATCTAGCGTGCCATGCAATGGCATTAGAGAGCGTGTGACACCAATTTTTCTGCAAAATTAAATTAAATGAAGGCACCTTTGACTACGCTGTGCACTCCAGTTGCACGCCAAGGCAAAGTGAAGTTAACATGCGAACTCAATTGAGAGTAAATGAGTGAGAGAATGAGTAGGATAAGCTAAATGAGTCGGTGTTGAGCGCTTAGATTGTCACGACAACAGTGTTGGTACTACTGAATCTCCTTTTTTTTTTGCTCAGATGACTTTGAAATTGTGGTTACTACAAAATTATCGGAATAGACAAAATTTTTATGTCATGGAATAAAAATAATTGTACACCTTAAATTGGAGAACATTTTTTTTTTTAAATTTGGACCAATTCAAAATAATGTCGGATAAATGAATCTTCTTAAAGGGTTTATATTTTTTATTGTGATATTTCTTTACATAAATAATATTTGATAATAATAAAGGGAAATCTTGTGTAAGCGAGCGAATTACAGTAATGTATTCACATATGCAGATACCAAATCCTTAGGTTATCAGCTTGATAGTTTTAGTTACTCCGCTCCTTTAGTAGGATGAAATTTCTTTTTTTTTTAATATTTTATGTATAAAAAATGTTAAGTTGAAAGCCCCAACGTAAGGATTAAACATTAATCAACTCCAATATGTTTGTGTATTTTTAAATTCTTGGAGAGAGAGTACAAAAAATTATCGAAAATTAGCGATTCATCTTCAAGCAAATAATTAATGATTCAAATATTCGATATTAGGCTAAGCCGTATTGGAAAGTAAAATACCGTAGTTGTTGTATGATTGCGCACATTTTATATATTAGTGTACACACTAGACCAAGAGAGTTTTTAGTTTCAAATTGTATCGAGTTTTGTCCTCTGTACAGTGGTTTACCCTTGTATAGGAGGTGGGCGTTGACTCAGTCTTATTTTACTCTTTTGGAATAGGGTTTCTACTTGTGACCTTAGAATCGCAAATCGCATGAAAGGTTATCAAAGAGCCACCTACAGTTCGATTTACTAAGTAAGTCCGAAAACATCACTTCCCGAAAAAAAAAAGTATTCATCATGTCAATTCAGGGGAAAAAAACGTAGTAAATCCTACATACATGTGATGTATGCATGTGAGTATGTGAAGAAGGAAGTGGAGTATTCCATTGCAGGTACATTTAATATGCCCTTCTTCCACTTCCACAGCAATTTTCCTATACTGCACCGTTATTAGTGTATGCGTCATTTTATACCGTTCTTCTTGCTGTTCGCACATACATACAATATGTACATATGTGTAGATAGAACGTGCAACATGCAACACAAACTGTGATTTAATGACACTAAACGTAAACGGTTTTTAGCTTTCGGTGAATCTCAGCGCGACTCTGAGTTGCCGCATATACTCTCATTCATAGAGTAGACTGTTGTTGTTTTTGTGTAATGCATTTAGCCAGCTAGATGGTGTTGAAGTTGATAATGTAATGTAACGGAGGACAAGGTATATATTGTATATGATTAGCAATATAGCGCTTATTGCTCGTTCTCGTGCTATTATTATGGCAGCTGTTTTGCTTTATTTATGTACACATATATGCACTTACCATATACATATTTATTTAATTAATTCTCCATTATTTGCTGCGGCAGTGTATCTATTACATTTGAAGCACTGTTACATTAGGTGACATATATACACACACATATACATACTAACTTAACCGAGTGACCCAAGTGCCAAATGGGAATTAATATAATACCCATTTGCGTACACAAACACAGTAGCAATATATATGTATGTAAAGCTGGAGTAAAGCCTTAACAATTTCTGGAGTGTATGTAACTTGTCTCTTTGGCCAACTGTTTATTTAGCCGTCGGCGTAGGTGTAGCACTACGCTGCTCTTCATTTTGACTGCTGAGCTGTTTGCGTGGTGTGCCATTTTCAAACGGCACAATTTATTCTTAGCGTTTGCCTATAATTGCAGCAATGCTTGCTAGAGGCCTTGTGGCTGTTGTAATTTAATATGGTAAATGAGTGTTTTCTTATTACGTTTAAATCGAAATAAAATTGTTCCAATGAATTTGTTTTATGGAACTAAGACTTTTTGGCATAAGAACTCTGAATTAAATTAGAAAAAATAAAATCTAGTAATGTGCTAAATAATACAAATATAACACCTTATAGAAATATAAATATTTTTATAAAAAATAAATAAAATATATAAAATGTTAATTTTGAGTTTTTTTTTTATTAAATAAATTCCCTTTATACAATAATTTTTTTTTATTTATTTCCAGCGATTTCTAAACATTATCTGATGAGTTTCCATATACAATGAACGCACCTAATCAATAAAGTAAGTAAATTCCGAGTTATATATTTTATTTTTTTTACCAAAGACTGCTTTACATAAGAATAAGTTAACGGCAGGAGCAGTTCTCTTTTATCCTAAAAGTTATGTCCAAGGGCGGATCTGGAAACGATTTCTATGGGTGGAAACGGAAATAATTTTGCAAATCTGGAATTAATGTTATATACAATGAAAGTCTATGTGAAGCTTTATCGATTAACGCAAAAATTTGATAAATTATCTACGACCTCCAGTGATATGGGAGCTAAGTTGCGATCGCGACGACGCAGGAGGTATTTCGTCTTGCTCTCGTTCACCACCAGACCTTTATCCTTCGCATCCTTATCCAGTCTAGAGAAAGCAAAACTATCAGCGCGGATGTAAAAGCCTATGAGTCAATGTCATCGGCCAAAGCCAATAGTTGTACACTCTTGTAAAAGATTGTGCCTTGTTTAAGAAGCTCTGCAACTTTTTTAATTTTCCCCACTATCAAATTGAAAAAATCACATGATAAGCAGTCATACTGTCTGAAACCTCTGACTGAGCTTCTGAGACATAGAGGCAGCTTCTTAATGATTATTGATTCGATTCATACAAGTCTTTTCCCAGGCTTGGCGTCAAGTCTTAAACCATACTGGTAAGGTCCAATCAGTTTGTTGGCGGTGGGCTTTGGGCTTTCACACAATACGCTTGACCTTATATGCGATAATAAGGAATCATATTCCACTGTAATATCCGCAGACAATCAGGTCTTCCTTTTGATGGATTGGGGAGAGCATACTTGAGCGGCAATCGTCGGGCAAGTTTTCGCCTAATCATATTCCGAAAATAAACCAGGTCTTTACCGCCATATTTACCACCCGCAGCCGGTAAGCCATCGGCTCCAGCCGATTTGTTGTTCTTTAAGAGTACAATCGGTATTCGAAGCTCGTTATAGTTGGTCTCTTCTATCGTCATCGTAAGTCGCCGCATCTTTTCATAGAATTTTCCATTATTATCCTTGGCACTAAATTTGCACTCCTGTATATATGGAGTAAATATCACAAGGATCTACTTATTAGTTAGCGGTCATGTCAGCATTTATTTTTATGCAGTGACACCTCTGGTGAACAGACGATGAAATTAGAATTCAACGAATCCTTAAACAGTATATTTCGAAGTGATTCAGGCTCCATATCTAAAAATATTTTAATTTAATTGTGCTTCGAATTTCACACATCGTTCTGATTAAAGGTTATATGACAAATTTATGAAGAAGAACAAGAATATAATGTTGATGTAATTATAATGGATAAAGTAATTTTTCTTAAAAGCTCTTTAATTTTACTTCGATATTATGCTCTCTATTTTTTATTTCATTTTTGTATTTTTACCATCAGAAGACTTACCATTTGACTTTGGCTTTAAAAACGCTAAACTCGGCATTATAAAAATCCAACCAACAAATAGCGCTAATGCCAGATATCAGCTGTAACGCTTCAATGCGCTCGAGCAACTGTGAAATGAACACAAATTCCTTTTATCTATTATTGTGCTTGGAGTATTTATATTATTATTATTATTTGTTATTATTCTTTTTCTTATTGTGTGTACTTGTATATGCCGCAATCACTTGATTTTCGCTGCTTTTTGTTGTTTGATTTTTTATTACTTTTTTTATTTAATGTTTTGCTTTAATCTTTTGTGTGTCAGCAATTCCCTGCAGGCATAGAGGTCGCACGCACACAGCTTTTGCCGCAGCAATCGTAAAATATAAAATGTTACGTATCCGCCCTGACGTCGGCCGCACCGCCAGGGAAATTTTATTTAAATTTATTGTGACATTATCCGGGGTGAATTGGCAAAATGTCCTAGTTGGCAGCTACGACATTTGAGAAGTTAGAGGAAAAGCAGATAAAATAAATTGGTCTAGACACTGGTTGCTTGCTCGTCTATGTGTTCGCCTATTTTTTAAGTGTTTGTTTAAGTAAGTAATGCGGGCAATCTAATTTGCAACAGCATCGAGCAGCACCGCCAGCAGGTCAATGTGGTGTTGATGGTGCGTTGAAGTTGATTATCTATTATTATAATTTTCTTTATGTAACACTTAGAAGTATTTTTTTCTAGATTATTGAAATCCCTCTTATGAAGGCAAGTACATTGAAATATTAGTACAGAAATAGAAATTTTTAGATAAAATTTTGTATATGATTCCGAATTATTGATCTAATAGGTGCAGACACAATTTTTCAAAGCTAATTTCTGATTAATTTGTAGAGTAAGTTAAGACTTTCTGGGGATAGAGCAGGGAATTTCGGTCTTTCCGACTCTCTCCGAATGTAATTCTGAAGTGAAAAAAAAGATCCTCTTATGAAATCCATCAGCTGTGCAGAGGAAGCGCAGAATAAACTGTACGTCTATCCATTTGCTCGAAAACATCAAAACGGACACCACAATTTGAATTAAGGTAGGAGCTCGGTCTGAAATCGACTCAAGCGACAATTATATATACTTAATATAATATGTGCTAATGAGCTTAAAGTTTAAACTCTTATACTGTACTCAGTGAAAGCTTTTTTCTTCGCTAGAGTGCTTGCAATTATTGACCACACAACGCGCTGACGATTTGATGCATATCTATATATATCCCCTGGTGTCGCCTGGAAGTAGTGTAACGCGCATGACGAACGGTGGTCTAGTTGATCAGTTTAACCAGACAAAGTTCATTAAAATAATTTTAGTAAATAATTTTTGAGCTATTGATTTTTCTACTCCTGCTAAATTAAAAAAAAAAAATTCTGGCGAAATGTTCTTGAGTAGGGCATTCACAAAGACGTGCGATATTCAGTAGGCTTATCTCGCGGCAATTGGTGTAGACTGTTGCGCCCCCTTTTTTATGGATTAGGCAGAGTATAATAGGTTCCAATGTTCACCACAAATCAAAAGCTCAGCCGTTAAGGCAACAGCTTCCACCACATTGTTGTTTTTTATATTATATATAAATAATATTTGAGGAAAAAAAATTCCTTTAATGTGAATTGTGGCAAGACGTTTATCTACTAACCGAATTGAATATCAGGGATCGTTTACCGAGGCTCCCACTCACCTCGGGTCTGACCCCAAATTTGAAAATTTGTCCTAAAAACTTTGTGATGGTCATTATCAAAATCATTGGAGCTGGTTTCTACATGGCCGCTCTTAGAAGCGCGCAACCTCTGTACGCCAGTAGTTTTTCATGCTGCACACATTTGAAATGACTACTCGCAGCAGCAGCTTTTGTGAAGAGATACTGCAGAAATACTCTAGCGGAACATTAAACTAGGTGACTCCACAAAAACTCTCTCTCTTTTAACCTAATGCCATGGAAGAGTTGGTTACCGCATCTCTCACAAGGCTTGTTCACATTTGTTGGGTTTGCGTCGTAAAAGTTGAGTACAACTGCAACTGAATACCCAGAAGCAGGACTACAATATATAACACTCTCACACTCTATCACATACACACGTATAAATTGTGAGAAAGAGAGCACTATACACTTAAAAGGTTGAAATAAATATTTTCCGACTAACTGATATGTGTCACACCACTGTGCGCTTTGGTTACGATTTCCGCTTTCCGACTTCCTGCATACGTATGCATATATCAGTTGTAAGACCACAAAATTAAAATCTCCTCTCAATTCACACTTGGATGCTGCGCAAGTGGCTATTCGTTGGGTTAGTGTGGGGTTGTCGGGTTGTCTGTATGTGACCACCGCTTTTTAATTGGCGGTTTGTTAAGAACGTGTCGACATTTTATACTTTAGCCCTGACTTATTTATGCAAACTTCAAGTGGGATTAAGTCAATTAAGTAATTATTGCCTCATAAATATCAAATGAATGCCAATTACAATAGCAACAATTAGAATGCTTACAAGTGTGATTTGAATAGGTATGTATTTGTGTGTATATATATGTACGAGAACAATTGTAATAGTGGCCACAATTATGCCGCATTCATTCATTCATTTTACGCCACTAACTGTTATAAGCGCATTTGTTATGTAAAGTGTTTGAGGAGATTCTTCAGCATTAGTAATTCATAAATGCAGATTAGTGAATTGTGTAAGGAAATTAAAATGTTAAGTACTTAACGGTGCACTTTGAAAGGCATAAATTATGCTTTAATTTATTAAATACAGCTAAGGGGGCTAAATAAAGATTTGTTGAAATCTCAGAGTGCTCAGTTGAAAGTGTTCCTCATTCCTTATGAGAGAGATAGATCCTCTGTTCATTGGAAGTAGTAATTTTTCATTGATTACTTCAGGATCATACCATACGCCCCACTCTTCGAGAGGATAATGCATAATGGATAATGAATTGGAAAATTCTGCCTCAGTTTTTGTAAGGAACCAATGTTCGGAGCAGCTATGACTCGATCCCAGGTCAGACAAATAAATTATAATATAAAATAATTGTTTCTACTTGAACGCTTCTCGTAGCAGAATTTCAATAGCTCTCAGTTGCTATTTTAAATATGAAAATTAATACTTACCGATGGGTGTATCTATATATTTATATTGATTAATAAAGCTTTATAGATTTATTTTTATTTAAACTTTAATATAATATTTTTTAAATAAAATTTATTTTGGAAAAACTTTCTGATTAAAAATGAAAAATATAATAATCAGAAAATGAAAATATTTGGAATTTAAAATTCATTAACATAAACACTGAGATGTTGAAAATAACTACCTACAATACGGCTTACAAAAATCCACCCGCTGTCTACTTTTAACATGAACACAAGTCGTGGAAGTTTTGTTCTCCACTAATCCAGTTTTCGTGGGCCTGTAATGTCCTTTAAAAGGAGTTCGTTTTGAATTATCGCACATTTCCGTAGGCATACGGGTGGTTAAGGTAAAGAAGTAGGATCTCACAACTACCTTGCAAGATCTAATTTAATCATAATCTGTGGTAAAATTAGAAGAAGCAGTAATTCCTCACCTGCTTCTGATGCCTAGAATAAGGAGTAAAATCTCACA